ACCACATAAGCAAAAAAGAAAAAAGCCGGAAGTGGCACTGTGGCTCAAGTGGTAGAGCGCTAGCCTTGAGCTGAAGAGCTGAGGAACAGCGCCCAGGCCCAGAGTTAAGGCCCCATGACCGGACCGCCAAAAAAAAAAAAAGACTCAGATCTCAAGACCCAAACACCTCTCCAACAAATCTGTATTCCCTAAGCCTGAAATAGGCAATTTTCTACTTAGTAGTGCCTATGATATAATCTGTTCATCTCCCAGAACCTAAATATCCACAGAACCAAGTTTAAACTAAGAGTAAGCAACCAAAAAAGCTATGTACCATACAGATCATAAGACAAGTCAGATGACTTGGCAATTGAGCCATACTTTTTTCAAAAAAATTCTCTTAAAATATGCATATAAAAAGTTTAAGTCTCCTTAGCAGATCTAAAGTAGATATCTCAAATGTTATTCTTGTAAAATAATCTCCAAATAAAGAAAGAGAACAAGGAAGTACCCATGTGTATTTTCAGAACTAAGTTGTTTTCAGATCCACTACCGAAACTTTGTCTGTGAAGGGACAGGGCAGGGAGAATGATCTCCACCCTTCAGTTCTCAGCACCTAACATGGACCAGAGAAAAGCATTACCTGCCTAAGAAAACCCTTGTAGATCTAGTCTAGATTTCTCTCTTTAAAGACAGCTAATGGCCAGGCTCTAGTAGTTCACACCTATAATCCTAACTACTCAGGAGGCTGAGATCTGAGGATTGTGGTTTGAAACTAGCCCAGGCAGGAAAGTCTATGAGATTCTTATTTCCAGTTAAGTACCATAAGAGCTGGAAATGGAGCTGTGGCCCAAGTGGTAGACTGCTAGCCTTGAGCAAAAGAGGTTTAGAGACAGCACCCAGGCCCTAAGTTCAAGGCCCAGGACCAGTACCCTTCCCTCTAAAAAAAAAAAAAGAGCTAATGATCCAATCACATATTCCTCAAAGATAAATTTCAACCTATGTACCAGAAAAATTACATTAAGTGTGTAGTTTGTTTGCCATTTTCCTATATCTTGTACAAATGATAAAGGATGCTAGAATCTGAATTTCTTTCTACACTGAGGTATTTTGCTTCCCCAGACTAGACTTCATGTTCTAGTTGACATAAAGCATCTGCTCCAGATGGCTTATTGTCACGATTCCAAGGTTAGAAAAGAGACACAGAAAAGGGAAGTTACACCCTAGAACTTATAAGCTAGAACCCCTGCTTGGCTCCATCTATGTGTGAGATAAGACTTAGTATAGAAGTTAAATACACATACATACAGAGGAGACCAAGACTGTGACACAGACAGGGAAACAGAGTCTCAATAAGTAATCTTACACCTAGTCTGGGACTGGTGGCTTCAAGCTTATAACCCTAGCTACTAAGAAGGCTAAGATCTGAGGATTGAGGTTCAAATCCAGCCCGTGAAGGAAAATTCAGGAGATTCTTATCTCCAACTAACCCTCAAAAAGCCAGAAGTAGAGCTGTACCTCAAGAGATAGAGTGCCAGTCTTGAGCAAAGAATGTTTAAGGCTTTCAGTTCAAGCTCCAATACTGGCACTGGCACACACACACACACACACACACACACACACACAAATAATTCCAGCAAACTGTGAGAAAACAATATCTATGTGCCCTTGAACAAGGTACTTAACTTCTCTGCGCTTCATTTGACTGTGGTGAGAACTAAATGAATTGTAACACATGTATCTGAATCTGGTACAAAATGTCCTATGAACGTTAACTTTGATATCACCAACATTATTATGGCAAAACACTTACATTTCAGTATAAGATGCAATTAAGAGGGTCTAATTTTATTTCCCAGCCTCTTTACTGAGTCATCCTTCAAGTATTTTAAACTAAAATAGAAAGAAGGAAAACAACAACAACAGAGATAATGAGTACCATGAAAAGATACAAACAGGAGTGTTGTACACATTTTTTTTTATCTTTGAAAGTATCCGATTAGGTAGGAACTGCTTGACACTTGAACAGTAACCACCAACCATGGCATCTCTCCATTCTAAATAAGAGATCTGACTCTATATTTAGTAACAAGAGAAACCTATTCAAATGTGTACAGTTCTGTATGCCCTGTGGTGAAGGAACACCAGCGGTCACCATCCTTCCCTCGGCTTCCTTAAAGACACTCAACGGAAATGTTTACACTAGGGTGTTCAGCAGGAGCTCAGACCCAACTTACCCTCTATCAGAAAAACCAGGGTTCAGTCAGTCAACGGGGTTGGAGTTAAATGGCTGGAGGACGTGGAGTTAAATGGTTGGTGGACGACTCTGTCTCATCAAATCTAACCCGTAGGTGCACAGTCCTGTTTCCATCACTGTTTCTAAGCAGATCCAAAGGCAAAGTTCCTGTCTCCTGAAGTCACAATTTGGACGAGCAAGGAAGAGGAACTTCAGCCCAGATGGAGACACAGATCCAACCCCTGTCCTAGCACTTTATACAGGTAACTAGCGAAGTCCAGCTCCAGCTGATCCAAGCAGGATTCTGTAGGCAATCCCGAGGAGGGCGTCGAGAGAAAGGTGGTGATCGCTTCACTCCTACGCACCAATACTGCTCAAAAACACCTCCTTCTCCCCAGTCTTTTCTTTCACCACCCCCAGTGAGCTGGGCCAGGGAGTCCTCCTTTATCTCTCGCCAGAGAGCTAAAGTCCACTGAGGTTTCTGGACTTGCTGGGACCTCATCATCGCTAAGTGGCCTTAGGACTGGACTGAAGAAACCCAAGCTGGCCACACATGCCCAGTACTTAGCACCTCCGGACTACATCTTCCACACAGAGGCTCTCCCAGATTCCTCCGTAATCACACGGGACGGGCGGGAAGCCCCTGCGTGTGATGGTTACACACTGCCTTTGAGGCTTGATTCTCATTTAGGGCAAGATAACGCCTCCTCTCATGGTTCTGCACATCCTCCAGTCTAAAAGCATCCATCTGGCAGGGGATCCGCAGCCCCCTCTCCCTCTTACACATTTACAGACTTACACACACACACACGCGCGCGCGCGGGGCCATGGGTCACCTGGCAGGCTGGCTGGAGGCGCACTCCACCCTCCCCCCACCCCCACTCCTGCAATCTCTGCAGGTGGACTTCACCTGGGGCGCCAGGGCCACTTCCACACCCTCACCTAGCTCAGGTTGTTGGCCCAAACCCAGTTGTTTTTCTACGATCCCAAGTCCAGGGGTCGGGGGGCGGGGAGAGGAGCCTCCGCCCGTCTCCACGGTCTGTGTGCGCGCGCGCGTTCGGGGAAATCGAGAGAAGTCACACACTCAGGAGACTGGAGGCTGGGACACGGCGGCGCAGGACTCCCTGAGAGTCCCACCTGTCCCAGGGTGGCCTTCTCCACCCAAGCCCAGCACCGATCGCCCTTGCTCCGCACAGCCAACGTGGCCAACACCCATCCCCCCCGCCCGCCCCGGCCTCCCGGCCCCGCGCGCCCCGCGCGTCTCACCCGGGCGTGGAAAGCTGAACGCAGCGCTTGGTGTCTTTGGTCCACAGCCTTGCCCTGAGCAGCCCAGGGTCTGATCCCGGACCGGGAAGCAACGCCCCGGACGCCGCCACGGCCCCCCCATCCCCCCTCCGCTTCCCCTGGAGGAGTGGGGGGGGGGGTGCGGCTGCAAGCTAAGAAGCCCGGGGGAAGCGAAGCTTTCCTGCTACGTGCAGAGAGACGCAGCCAAGCTGCGGGGGAGGGGGGGGCTCTTGGGCCCCCGCGATCCCTCACCTGAGTAGCGATGTCCCAGGCACTGGGCTACTCCGGACCGGGACTACAGCAAGCACCTGGGCATCCCCGTAGCTCAGGCTCCATCCGGAAATCACGCTCGGCTCAACCGGCCCCAGCGCAGCCGCGCCCTCTGGGTTAACCCAGAGAGCCGGCAGAAATGAGTTTCCAACTCTTAGCACCGCCACCCGCGGGACTCGGCTCAGTACGGTCGCTTGAAGGAGCAGTTTGGAAACGTCTGCGCGGAAATCTACGCGCCCCGAGGGAATCTGACACTTACCAGCGCGGTTTCCTCTGCAGCCCGACTCCTTCCTGGGTCTTCCCGGCAAGCGTAGGCCTTCCTAACCGCCACCGACCCCCCGACGGACGGGCGGCGGAGAGCTCGCAGTCCCGATCTGGCTGGAGAAGCAGCCAGCGAGCACGGAAAGTTTTCGCAGATGGAGTCCTAAACCCTGTGAGCCGGGCTGAGCGCACTGCGTCCCTCCGCCACCGGGTGGCGCAGCGGCTCTCCAGGTGCCCAACGTGTCCAGGGAAAGGATGCTGGAACCCTCCCCCTCCCCGCATCCCTCCCTCTCCCCCCACCACCCCCCCATGTACACGGGGACAAGTAGAGTGGAGTGGGTCCTGGCTTGCTTAGAACTCCCCTGCTCCCATGGCTTTGCCCTTTTGTCGTGGATGGTGTTTTGGTTTTCCTCCAAGTCCACTGGCTTGGAGAGGTTAAGGGGAGGTATCAGTTACTAATCACTGCCTTCAGACGCAGAATCTAGAAACTGAAATGGTAAAGTCAGCTGAATACTAGCTGACGGTCATCACACACACACAAGCCCGTGCACATGCATGTGTTCTGTTGGAGTCAGCTCTTGAGGGCTTAGAGCTGCTTAGAGCTGAGAGAATTTTGTTTACTTGGAGATCACCTGGAAATCAGATCAGCTGAACCTGATTCCCAGTGGAGAAGAACGCACACTAAAACATCAGAAAGAGCCAGATGAAGTGATCAATCTTATAGTTCTAGCTACTTCGGAAGGCAAAATTGGGAAAGGCCAAGCACCAGAAACTTGAAGATCTTAGTTCGAAGCCAGCTGGGGAAAGAAAGTCTGTGAGACTCTCATCTCCAAGTAACTACCAAAAAGCCAGAGATGGAGCTATGAATCACCTGGTAGAGCTCTAACCTTAAGCAAAAAAAGCAAAGGGACAATGCCCAGGCCCTGAGTTCAAGACCTAATACCAGAACACACACAAAAACATGATCTCTCTCTCTATATATATGTATATATATGAGATTTTATTATATTTTTCATATATATACATATATATATATATGCACACACAGAAAGAGAAGCTTCTTAGGCTGGGGATGAAGTAAATGACAGAGCACTAGCAATTAGCAAGCAACAGTTCTGAGTTTGATACCAAGCCTTGAATAAAAAGGAGAGAAGAGAAGAGAGGAAGGTAGAGAAGGGGAAGGAAGAAAAAGAAGAAAAGTAAAAGAAAATGAAGAGAGGAAAAGAAACATTTAAAAGTAAAAAACACTAGTAGGCTAACTAGGAAATTTGGGGCTAAGATGGTGTGCATTTGGTCAGTTCCCTCTGAATCTACTCTGAAGTCACCTTTTCCAAAATTGCCATCAGTCTAGCTTGTCACTGATGTGTGGGATCTTACTAAATTTGAATATACACATTCACTATCTAATGCCAAAAGGGGTCCACATTCTGAAAGACTATGAAGAAATTCAAGGAACAGACATTTTCCACTTAGAACACTCACTGGAAAACTGCTCAGTCCCTCTGAGATCTGAAAGTAGACTTTCCACAGCACTAAATGCTGGCAGAGGTAGAGAGGTGGGAGGCACTCTCTGGGGCTGCCTAATTGATTGGTTAGTTCTCAGAAAGTCACTGCTATTTACCAAGTGAGCAGGCCCAGGAAAAGCAGAGGCTTTCTCCATCAACTTCAATATCACCATGCCCTCCACCACCAAGGGCTTGAAAGCTAGGAGTGTCAGAGACAACTTATTACTTTGGCCGCATCAGGTTCTTGCCCAACACCAGTCAGACACACACAAAGCTCTTTTGTAGCCAGGGCAACCTCCTAACCTAAAAGCCTGGCTGCTGCCTCCTGAAACCCAGCCAAGCTACACAAGAAACCATTTGTGTTGTGACCCTGGTTTTGAACTTGGCTGACAGATCAGCACAGGGGAAATCCGTCTGTGCAAAACAGGAAGGAAATGAGATGAAAAGCCAACAGAAGTAGATTCACAGTGTCCTATCACACAACTGTCCAGGGAAGACAGAGAGATGGTCCTGCCTTCCAGGGAAGCCAAGACCTGCAGCAGGGAGGGAAAGAATCAAATGGGGAAAGCTGAGTTTGGCTTGTCTGTCTCTTTTCCTCCTGCTTGCCTGTCTTGAACATCCATTATCCCACAAGAGAACAGTGTAAACCTGTCATTTCAGCTGTGGAGGAGGTGTAAGTAGGAGAATCACTGTCCAGTGAGAGACTTTATCTGAATAATAACTGAGACAAAAAGGGCTAAGAACATGGTTCAAGTGTTATAGCACTTGCCTAGCAAGTACAGGGTCTTGAGTTAAAAAAACCCCAGTATTGCCAAAAAAGAGCATATATTATATGTAATATATATATTAATTGCATGAATTTTGGCAGAATATTCCAAAACCATCCCGATTGCTGTAGTTTTGATAGTTTGAAACATTAAGTAGTAACCATTACCTACTTACTTGCAAATGAATACCTTTAAGACACCTACATAATTTATATGAGCTAATTCTGCCATAATCTCAACAGTTAGTTGCTTAACCATTTTCTGCTTAAACTCTGTCTACCCCTGTCTGTCTCTACATATGTGTGTATAGTCACTGTACATGCATATATGTATATAGAGAGGCAAAGTACCCACATATATACGTGTGATAACTTTGTGAGTATGAGTGATTTCAGTGGTGAAATGAATTCACGGGAGAGGAGCTGGTGATTGGTTCCACTGACTGCTATTTTAACTAGAGCCAAATCTTGGTTGCTTTTCATTGTGCTGGTTGCATTAGAACATTTGAACCGATGTGGCCATTTAATTTACTGAGGAATTCATTTGAATTTGTTGCTGATAATTTATTGAAAGAAATTATTTTTGTTCTTTCTGCTTTGTAGCAAAATCTGAATCAATGAGACCATAGCCTCTTGGTTCACTGTCTCTCTGGAGAACTCTAATGGTAAATAAATGATAGGGCTTAAATAACAGTGGATTTGTTTGGTAATACCCTATTGTAGTTTCTGCTTACAGGGAAACTTGCTGATTCAAGTTACAAACCAGCTACAAGCCAATGCCTAGTAATGGCGTGCACTGGTGACTTCCTCCTACAACAGGAAGGGGTTGCATTTCCATGGTTCTTTATAAGCTGGTTGGTGAAAGAGGCTGACAGAGCTGACACCCATATTGTGTTCAACACTGAACAGACTCTTTGCAGAAAGAACGTCTAGAAGAACATATCAAGGAATCATTGCAGCATTTGGTCCACCATAAGGAACTCTAAAGAGCCCTAGTGTCATGCTTTGATATTAGAATCAAATCAAGTGAAAATGAAAAGGTCCTTTTAAAAGTGCCACCCATGGGAATCTGCTAGCTGTTCCCTTCCTGGGAACAGTTGTACTTCTTATATGGAGTTGAAAGCCCTCAGCAGTCTGAGCTGTGCACTGGGGAGTTGCCTTCCCCAGGACATGTGGGGAAAGGGATTTTTTTTTGTAGTGTTCAGTGTTTCTAACTGGTGCTATATTTCTTTAGCTTTCAAGATGTCTTATTTGTTAAAATGATAAGAAGCATCCGTAGAAGTATGACACCATAGAGCAAAAAGGAAGGCTGATTAGCCTGTGTTGCTCCTTTAAGTTGAACCTGGCTAGACGTTAAGAAGGAACACTGAAGAGAGAAGGCTGAGGATGGGCACGTGGGAGCTGTTGGAAGGCTTCGAACCATGAGGTATGAGCATGGTAGAAGCCTATTGATGTTTTCATTTTCCTTCCTTGATGATTCACCATTCCTTAGCATCATGCTTCCCAACTATCAACACGCATAGGAATTCTTTGGTATCTTGATGAAAGGTAGATCCTGATTGGTAGAACTCTGCTGGGACTCCTGATGGTACAACATATTCCAGATTAGACCCTGGCTGGTAAGCCATGGCTTAGCTTTGAACAAGAATCTAAAAATATCTTGTAAGTATTCACCACTGAGTTTTTCAGAAAGCAAGGGAGCAGCTGGAAGTCCTGCAATGGCTGTGTGTTTTCTTGGGATGACCTAATTGCCTGGGTAGCGAACATTGTGGCAAAGCCATCCATCATTTATTGTGAGCACTTTGTTTGTTGTGGACCATTACTCAGACTCTGTACATTCAATGCAGAACTGTCTGTCTCAGTTTGCTCTCTCTGTGCTGAGTTATCAAATAGGCTTTGGAAACTCATCTTTGCTGCTGTCTGCAGCAAGACTGACTTCCTCATTATAGAACTTGAGATCAAGCCCAGAACATGAGATGTTCTGCATCTGACCGCTGTGCTTGGAGTTGGCTGATTTGGGGATGGGAAGAGAGGCTGTAGATAAATGAATTCATCTTTTTCTTTAAAAATAGCCTTGCAGAGAAAAACACACAGGACTCCTCTAGCCTTTTGGGAGGAGAGGTCAGTACAACATACATACATATATATATGTGTGTGTGTGTATGTATATGTAGATATATGCATATTCACACACATTATATAGTAAAAATGAGACTACAAATAGGAAGTAGTTAGCACAGTTTCTGTACACAGAAAACATCTAACCTACGGCAGCTATTCTTATTAAAACAGGTACTTCTATTTTGTGGGAACTCCAAGGTCCTAAGGAATGATGTCTGGACAATTTAAGGCTACTCTAAGTTGAAAGGAGAGTCATCCGGTCCCTCTCACAGGTAGGGTTCTTGTGATGGACAGTTTTGACTGGCAAGTGGTGGTTATGTAACAGTGTCCAATTACACGTGTCTATTCCCACAGTGCATTTTGTTATAATGGTATTAAGTATATGCAATGCATAATAACGAAGTTTTAATTAGGGGTTGCTCCTGAAAGTTCACATTGGGACAAGTAAATTTTAATTTGTTGCTATTGTTGTTGTTTTGTGCCATTCCTGGGTTTGAAATCAGAGCCTGGCCCTGACCTTTTCTTGTTCAAGGCTAGTGCTCTACCATCTGTGGCACAGCTCTATTTCTGGCTTTTGCAGGAAAAGAAGAGTCTCATGTATTTTCCTGCCTGGGTTAGCGTCAAATGATAATCCTCAGATCTCAGCCTTCTCAGTAGCTAGGGTTACAGGCGTAAGCCACTGGTACCTGGCTGGAGATTTCTATTTCGTTGGGCAAACATCCTTGTAATCAGGATGTGGCTCTCATTGGTGTGGCCCATGGGACATTTACC